GACATTAAAAAATCCAATAACTACATTACTTGCCAATCTTCAACCTCAAGCTGTAGCATTCAATGGTTATGGTGTATCACCAAATCCTGTTCGATGGATTGGTACTGAAATGGGTGTTGCACCTGATCCAAATTGGTCAACAGGAATAACTAATGATGGTGGTGATCCAAATAGTCCAATATTTTGTCCAGCTGAATGTGATACAACTCTTCAAAATGGAGATCGATGGTTTTGGGTATGATTATATTTACAATAATCGATATTATTTTTGATGTAATGATCTTTTATTTAGGGTGTTAATGCAACACTTCGTTCACTTTCTGAATTAATTCAAGTCTATCATGAAACAGTTGGTCGAAATTGTATGTTGATGCTTGATCTTACTCCTGATCGAACAGGTCTCATTCCATCTGCTTATGCACGTCGTTATAAGCAATTAGGTGATTTTATTCGTTCATGCTATGGCACATATGTTCTACCTACAGAAAGTCTTACTCTAGAAGATTCAACTATATATATTCAATTATTTGGTTCATCACCAGTTACAGTTGATCGTTCAGTTATTCAAGAAGATCAAACTCGTGGTCAAGTTATTCGAGCATATACTATTGATGTTCAATTCGTCAATACAACAAATAGTACTCAATGGATTACAGTAGCACAAGGTACAAGTATTGGTAATAAGAAAATTGATATTTGGCAAGAAGGACCACAACTGATTAATGCTGTTCGATTAACTATTACAAAAACAGTTGATAGGCCTGTGTTAAGATCATTTACTATTCATTTGTGTACTTAAAATATAATTTTTAATTAACATTTCTAATTAAGAATTGTACAAAATTTTTAATTTTTTTTTTCGACATACGAACATTGGAAAAAATGAAAAAGATTGCTGTGATCACGTCATAAGACACTTATATTCGATCATTAGTAGAAATTTAATCAAGGCCAAAGGAAAAATTAATACATAAAAAAAAATAAAAAAAAAGATTATATATAACAAACGATTCAGACGTGGAATTCGAGAAATTATTACGAATTAGCATTGTTAACATTTTAACATAACAAAACTTATTAGAGTAATGTAGTATTGTTGTTTATATTCTTTCATAAATGCACTCAAATCAAGTTACCCATTCGAGTACCCCACAACCGGTATTTCACGTATACTCGATTAAGTAAACTAACAGGAATATGTTTTCAGGAGAACAACAAATAAAAAAAAAAAAGTACTGATCCTATGATTTAACCCATAGCTCTAATTGAATAATATTTATAGGAAAAAAAGATTTAAGTACTTCTCAAAATCTCTCATAACTTATAAATATTTCGTAGTGAAGTTTGAATCTTTGTTATACCTATAAACAAAAGGAAATGAAACTATTTTTACAATTAAAAAGATCTTTCTTTAACATCTATTACAAATAGAATTATTAATATTCCTTTTATTTATTCTTCTTTAAGTTTGTGCCTCCGGTCCTTTAGATAAAATAGGTCTTGCTTAGAATGACTTCATTCAATTTACTATCAATCAATGAGCTTTAGCCAAAATAATGCAGAAATATTTCTTTAGTTAATCGTAGAAATTTACATGTTAGCACAGACGATAATAGTATATACAACCTTAGGCAAAAGTCTTTCCTCTCTTTCCTTCGTCCTTTTCATAAACTATAAATGAATTAATGGATAGAATACTTCATAGTTGAGTCTTCTCTTTTTTTTAAGTATTTTCTGAATGTTTTACTGATTTTAGCTTATCTGTATTTGTATGATCAATTATACAGCATTCGAAGAAGAGGTTCGAGTCGATGACGAAAAGAATTTAATGATCTAAACAAGTAAAACAGTTAGCAGATACAAAAAGAAAGATAAGCTAGTCGTGAAACATTCTATCAACCAGCTCATTTGTAGTGTTGCTTAATTTTATTAAAAGATGTACTTTATTTATTGAAGCAAACGATCATCAATCATACAGCATGCTACAATAAAGCATTTCAATAATTCTTGTAACTAACACTCACTGAACACCAAATGGGTTCTATGTGAAACGAACGAGTGGGAAGGCAGACTTTTGTCCACAAGTGTATGAATATATATATATGTATGTTTTTCACGAACACAATTTTGTATATGATGGAACTCAACGATCACTTTAATAATTTATTGGTACATTGTCAAAAGTGTATCATCATTACAATCAGAAATTTAATAAAGTCATCCAATTATTATGAATGTAAAAACAATACGAGATATAAATCAAATTATTTATTGAATCAAAAAGCACGACATGCTTGTCGGTATTCTAACTGCATTCGTACAATCATTGATTATTGTAGCATCTTGAAATATTATAAATGAATAACAATTTCAAAATTCTAATGTGATCAGCAGGGTATGACTAATCGAAAAAAGGATATCTTAACCTATACACTCTCTACTATACTCACAATATATCTAATTTGATTCTAGTCACACAGAACTATTGTAATAAAGATTCACAAGTATAGTCTCAAATACAAGTGACAATTTTTGTTATCTAATGATAACTGAAATTCATATGCCAACTATTCTAGTCACTATGTTAAACAGACATGTATTAAATGACACTAAAATTAGTTATTCTTGTCACATTTATTAAAGAACGATAGGTCATAAATTATTAGAATTTATCGAATAAAAACTTACACATTTGCGAATAGCTTTTTACTCAATTTCAATCGTTAAAAAAAACTGTTTAAGACGACTAGACACGAAAAAAAAACGCATTTGTACTTTTTATTATTGAAAATCACAAAATAGTTGAGTTTCATTATACAATTGTAACATCAAAATGACTGATCAATGAGTACTATACATCATTAAAATAGAACTATTGAGAGGATGAGAGTGTCATAATAAAGTAAATGCACACTCGTTTCTTGGTAATCAAATCAACATTAATCACTGTTATTCTTCTAAATGATGAAATTAACATCATGATGGATATCTTTGCATAACAAATGGCAAACAAAATGTAAACAAAAAGATAGCTGATTAAATATCATCACAATGCTGTATTATTGAATACTCTTTAAATGAGAATCCGTTTTCTAGATGAAATTAAGTGAATTCTGCTTTAGAAAAGAAAATTATTCAACAATTCAGTTTAACTATAGGATAAATACAATAGGATTGCTATCGATTATTTATTTTTACTTATCTAATCATGACATAAAATCTTGTTTAGTTTGTAAACAGATTACAAAAAAAGTGTTGTCTTAACCAGAGCAATTTAAATAGAAGAATAAAATTTGTATAAATATATGCTAGCTTTATATAGACACTTGCTTTTTTTGTACGTTTAAGATAAATTTATTTCTAATTAGTTGTCAGTTTTTCCAAGATCGGAAAAAACATAGAGTTATTCTTTTTTCTAATTCATTTTTGATTGTCTAATTAAATAAAGATGATCTATAGTTTTGATGTCTTTTTTTAAACTGAATAATAATAATGTATCTAAAATATGAATTATGAAGTCATACGAACTCGTATTTATATGTGTTTTGATATCATTTCTTGTAGTAATGAGTACGGAAAAATGTTCATAATATATTTTTTTTTCTTATCATAATGCGATCTTCCTTTGTTTTTTTATCTGTATCTTTTCTAACATAAGACTAAACTTTAATAACATAAATCTATATAAGGTTAACAATGATAAAGAAGGCCAAACTAATTTTCCGCTTAAAGTTTTTTCTTTCATGTTACAGATAAGTATTTATCGGGGATACACTAATGTATCAATTATTAGCATGATTGACAAATATTTTCAGTCAATTACTTTGAATTACTTCTATAAACATGAACTGTCAATACTATAGAACAAAACAGATTTATTTTATTTTATTTTTGATTATAATGAAAGTAACAGTTATGTTGAATAAAAAGTTGTATAGATTAACTTGTTTCTCTTTTCAAATAAATCATTATTATTTTAAACATGTTTAAAATAAGTCATATAGATATATAAAGATTATCAACTTGATAATCAATGATTGTGATAACAGTAACAATTTTTCTATTCATCAATATTTATTCGCTTATTGATAAATTTCGAAATGAAAATATTTTGCCAATCATTTATTCTCAATAACGGTTTTTTTTTCTTTCTAGAAAAATAATAAATTTATTATCTTTTCCTTTCAATGTTCTCAAAACTAGTAAAAATAAAGGATATCACTATAACATGGAATAAAGTCCATATTTGCACTATGGAACTAAATCAATGTAATATTTTAAATGCCACTTGATATGATTTATTATTCGATTAAATTACCATTACAATCCATTTTCATTCAATTCTTATCACCTCTATCAAACTTATTGTATTGTCAATATTTGTTGTCACATGAAAAATACATTATTTAAATCACAACATTATTTTACGAGACATATGACGCTTCACATGAATCACTTCCGTTTTCATGAGTCATTATCAATTTGTATTTCATAAGAATGATCGTATGAAATGTTTTTCAATTTCATATTTAATTGATAAAGTTCTTTTTATCTCCGCAATAATAATACAATTTGATCTATTATATTGATGAATCTTCTATTGCAAGTATTTAATCACATTAAAAAAAAACAGATCCATGTTTTAAGTACCGTTAGGTTTTCTTTTTTTTTTAATAGCCCTCCGAAAAGCTTCATTATACTAGAAAACTTCTATAGGTCTGATATTTGCTATACCAAGTCTATATCCTCTTAATGGTAGTACTGCAATTCTATCAGGTTCATCACTATATTGCTGTTTATCACGTTGGTTAGCACAACAGCCAACAAGAGTGGATATTGCACCTAAAATAGTATCAAATCCTCCAGTAGCAATCAACAATGAATTGATAATAAGTTCATTTAATTGCATCAGAATATTTTGTATCATAATGAACAAGTATAATACATGTAATTATTAAATAGAATGAAAGAATTATTGATGTACTAGTAAGTACAGTAAATCAAAAAATGGATGAAGGAGTCCACTCTCGAGATGCTAATATACCAACAAGTTCTGTCGCTACTAGTATAAGACCAACCCAAACGTCTTTACCTAAAAAAAACAATGAACATAATAAAATATTTTCGAAAACAAAGCTATTTTTATTAACCGTGATCTGATGATGGCCATAGTGAATTTTCAACTTTCAATCCACTATGACTTTCATCATAATGAGTAACACTTGATCGACCATGAAATAACTCAATTATGAATAAAATTATATCAACTGCACCAATAAGACAAAATAGAATACCTAATATAGCAACAAAAATAATTTGATAACCAACTGATATACTGTATATTGTGAAAAATGTCTTCATCTTGTATATATGACAATACTACAACATGTCAATATTTAATTGGCTTCATCATGCACGTAGCAATCATGATAACAGGAAAATCAATGAACCATAATATTTTTTGTTTGATTAGTTTTTGCAATATAACATTAAACATATAAACAAGAAAAAAAAACCTAATCTCTATTATTGAATACTCTTTTTTTTTATTTCAAATATCTCAATACTCCGCAAATAGTGAAATAAAACAAAAGAAAAAGTTTACTAAAATAGTTCATTTATACTTTTCCATCAATATACGTAATTCTAAAGATATATTTTTTCATGTGCTTCAACCTGTAATTTATCAATATATATTTCGTCTCCTTCCGAACTATTTCATTCTATTTCAGATAATCATGTAATAAATCCATAAAATTTTATTATTTATTATCACACATAATGCCTGTTCTTGACAAGAGTTACCAAAACAAAAAAAAAAAAAAACCTCTATATCTTAACACATACAAGTACATCAAACGTTTGAACATTAAAATATAATAATAGGTTCTTATGTTTAAGCAACAATACGTAATGTTGGTTGTGGTCCACTAGTACTTTCCTCAAATTCATCATTAACTGTATCATCAACAAGTGAATAATGTCCTGTAGATGATGAATATCGTAAAGTATTTATTTCTGTTTCAGCTGATATAGCAACTGGTGTTGTTGGTTTTCGTCGTTGACCAGTGAGTATACAACGTAAACAAGCACAACGTTCAAATAATATTTCAAGCCAATATGGTTCTGTACAAGCAATTATAATTAATTGTACTAAATAAATACTTGAACGTAATATTGATGCTAATAAATATGATTTATATGTTTCAGTAATATGTTCAAGATAATATAAATATATATCATAAAAAACGATCACACATAATAATGATGTAACACGTATTGTCCATAATTTTTGTATTGGTGCAACTTGATTTGTACCACGTAAAAGATAAAAATATCTTAAAACAAAACCAATTAATATTAAAGCTGGTATAAATAAACAAAAATAAATTATTGAACGAGCTGTTGCTATTGAGCGTAATTTAGAATAATTATAAGGACAATATTTATTTGTATATATTGATATAGTCGAATTTGAATCAGCTTGAGTAAATGGTGATGCAAGTGCATAAATAAGCATTATCAAAAGCCAAGTAAAAATTGCATATAAATTAATATAAAACATGTTAGAAAATCTTGTAAATTTTTGTTTAATTGATGGATGAGCATAGAAAAAACGTTCGAGAATCATATAAAGTATAAAAAAAATTGGAACCTTAAAAGAAAAATAAATAAATAAATAGAACTTTTATTTTTATTTTTTTGTTAATTTATCGAAGACTTACAGTTGCATTTGTTGAGTAAATAACATAATGCAAACGACAAAGTCGTAATGTAAATAATTGAAACCAATGATAAAGTATAAGTATTAAAGATGGAAACCATGCAATAAATGAACAAAGAATCATATGAAACGAAAAATAATCAATTATATTTAAATAAGCTCTTGATCGAACTAATCGTATAGCAATTGGAATTGCAAGAACATAAGTAATAATGCTGAATATCCAAATAATAATATGAGTATCACGAACAGAAAAATGTTCAGGTTCCATTAAATCAGCTACTTGATGTTTGTATAGTTTGGTTCCATTGAGTAATTGTGTAATAATGTTAAATATAGTATCATTATTAAGTACTAAACTTGATGTTTTTGTTGTTGTTGTTATTGTTGTTGTTGTTGTTAACGTTGAGTTTGACAACATTGTTTTTGACATCAAGTTTGTTGATGATATTGTTGTAAACGTTGAATTCGGCAATAATGATGTAGAAATATTACTCATTTGTGCGTACTTGTACTGATGAAAGTAAGAAAATTACGTATGAGCTTATCAAATTCTGTCTATTTCTCGTATCACAATAAAAATAAATACTCTGCGTTGATTTGTATTCTATTATATGATTGAATATGCTGATCTTCCAATGGTTATATGACGAACACTTTGCATGCTTGATTAATTTTAGTCCGACGACTGCTTTTATTCTTACCCAATGACAGCAGTAGTAACAGAAAAGGAAAAATCTACAATTTGACGATGTTTTCAACAGAAAAAAAGAAAAATAAGCACAGAACAGAATAGAACAAGCACACTTGGTAGTTAATAGAAAGACGTCAACAATCAATATAAAATTGCTTATGAGTGTGTTAGAAAAGAAAAGTTTTATGATGACGAACAAATAGCGTCGTATGCAATATATCTATAGCATTCTCTTTTTTTTTTCCTTTTCTTGAATAAGAAACTAAATCAATATCATGTGCCTCTAAAAATATACAGGCGTTGCGTAGAAAAGCAAAAACGAAAAAAATCAAAAGAATAATTTTTTTATGATTAATTAAAGGCGATATATATGGAATAGAAAATATATTGTTAATAAAATTAAAATTTGTATTTTTTATTGAATAGAATAGAATAAATTTTATAATTATTCAAAAAACAAATAATAATTTAATATATATTGTTTATTTAGATTTCTTTTCAAGTTTAAGTGTTTTTTTAGGTTTCATTTTCTGTAATTTGTTAGTTTCACTATCTTTTCCTCTTAATAATGATAGTTCATTGGATGATTGAAATATTTTTATATTTGGTATTTCAATTTCAATATTTTCATTTGAAATTTCTCCACGATCAGGATCAAATACATTTAATTGTAAAAGTAAATCAGCAATAGCTGTACTTCCATGAATATTTGCTCGAGCATAATCAAGTACAGAAAATCCTTTATTATCTTGAGCATTTATATTAATTGTATGATGAACAGTTGATGAAAGTAGTAAATGAAATATAACTGTATTATCATGAAAATAAGCTGCATAATGAAGAGCTGATCGACCCATGTTTGTATCAACAATATTAGGATCTATACCAAGACGAATAAGAAGTTCAACAATATTTTTATGTTGAAGATAAACAGCAAGAATAAGTGGTGGAATGTAATCCTGAAATAAAATATTGACATCAGCATTGTGTTGAAGCAATAGAGTAAGAATATCTTCATATAAATTTAAAAAAAATTTAGATAAAATTTAATCATAAATTAGTTATATCATACATACTAGAATGATTATGAATAATTGCTTCATGTAATGAAGTTGTTCCATCTTTACTTATTCGATTTATATCAGGATTACAAAGAAGTAAAGTAGTTAAAGTTTCTTCATTATCAGCAATTGCTGCATAATGTAATGGTGTTCGACCTGATGCATCAGAAACATCAACCGTATGCATATATTCATAAAGAGCAACAATTATCGTTGCATCACCTAGAGATCAATATAATTTTGTATTTAAATTTTAATTCTAGTTTAGTAAATAATTAACTAACCTTCAATGGCAGCAAAATGAAGTGCTGAACGTTGTTGTTCATCATAATCAACATCAAATTGTAATAGTTGAATATTATTTTCAGTATTTTCTTTCGATTTTTTCTTATTTCGAAATGATGTTTTTCGTTTAGTAAGTTGACGAGTTAACTTATTAACATCCTTCGTTCGAATATAATCGATTGTTGTTGATGTGCATTTTGGTGAGGAATATTTTGCTCCCATTATATCTTCTAAAATGTATTGATGTCTGATGCTTGCATTTTATTTTATACTTGCAACAACAAGCATCAGCTGGTATATTGAATAGAAGTCAAAATTACCATTTTATATAAAAAAAACCAGAGATAAATCACAGCAAGAAACCTGTGACAATGGTTTGTCTTTTTTTATTCTAAAATATCGTGTCATTCAAATCGACTAATGTTAGTATATTCGATTAAGATTTATTTTTAGAATTACGAGAACAATTATCGATAAGAAATTTCTTACACTCTCTGTAGAATAATATATTCTTCTTTTGCCCAAAGAATAAAACATGACACATTTAATGTTTTCGATCATATCTCTCTATTATTGTCGTTTGATCACATATTTATATCTCTGATCACTTAACTTGTTCGAAAAATTTTAGCTATATAGAATGAAAATTCATTAAAAAACATAAAGAATATATCATCAATGAAACCAAAATTTGTTTTAAATATCGAACTTTGAAAAAAAAAAATGTTTCTGAAAGTTTTTTTAAATATATTTTATGAACAAAACGATCAAAAAAAAAGCTTGTAGCAATAGAAATAAAATCGATAAAACTCAACCTGATAGTTAAACAAAAAAACACAACTCATCACTATCAAATCAAAAAATTTTGATTTCCTATCTTATGAATGCATTTCCTTATTCGATAGAGTCAAAATTTTCAGAATCAGTCAAATAATGCAAGATGTATCTATGATATAAATATGAAAGTCAACAATAATCATTGAAAGAAACAATTGAAAATATTAGGTGAGTTGTTTGGTTGAGCTAGAGTGATATAAATAATGTCAATGGTACAACTGCTAATCATAGTTTGTCTCTAAAGACTTCTTATTGAAGAAAAAACAAAAAACATCGGGTTTATGATGTATCTCTCTCGTAGGAATTCTATATAATAAAGAATTTTAACATATTCATTTTTTCTTTTTGAAAAGGAAAACATTTTTTTTTTCATTAGTTGATTAAATCACAAAAAAAAATTTAATAATAATAATATTAATTAATAATAATAATAATAATAATAATAATAGAAGAAAAAAAAGCGAAATATTTAGTTTTTTGATTTAATTGGTAGATATTTTTTTTCTGCATTAACTAATTCTTGATCATTTTGTAAACGAAATACTTCTTTAACACTAACAATATTTGATTCAACATTAACTAATGTTTGTTCATTATAAATACGTTTTGATGTTGCTTGCATCGCTTTTATACTTGCACGTAAATTATGATTAGCCCATATAATAGCTGATATACCCCATTTTTGAAATGTTTCTGTTGGTGTTTGATAATAATTTGTTGGAACAATAATAACAGGACCTTGATTATTCCATACTTTCATAAATTGTTCAATTTCTTTAGGATCTTTTTGTTTACTATGCATTAATATAGCATCAGCACCAGCTGCTAAATAAGCTTCAGCACGACGTATAGCTTCATCACAACCCCATCCACTTATAAATGCTTCAACACGAGCAACAACACAAAAATTTGGATCTTGTTGAGTATCTTTCATAGCACGAATTTTTAAAGCAAATTCATTCATATCAGCTAATGGTTGTTGACGATCTTCTAATAATGAATTTGTTTTTGGAAATAATTTATCTTCGATACAAGCACCAGCTATACCCAATTGTTCAAGTTTACGAACAAGACGACGAGCATTATTAAAATTACCAAAACCTGTATCAGCATCAACAAGTATTGGAATTCTTGTTGCATCAGCCATAAATTCAAGAATATCAAGAACTTGAGTCCATGATGCTTCATTTGAATCACGTAAACCAAGTGAAGCTGACATTGATAAGCCACTTGCCCAAATAGCCTAGAACAATATATAATTTATCAATGATATTCAAGAAAATTTCATATTAGTTAAATTTTAGATTTTCATCAATAGTTTCTATGTCTTTTAAAATTAGTAAGACTAATAGGAATATCAAATCATTCTAAGTGGCATGATATATTTTCAAGTAAACTCTCTTCTACATTTATAAAAACAAAAAGAACTTTTCCCAGAGGAACAATATCTGAATTAGGAAAACAACAAATCATAATTTGATATGATTAAAGAAAGAGCATTTCTCCAATAAGAAAATTCTATTGAAGGCATACGATATATAATGATTTCAAATTTCTAGGACTATATTATTGATTCAATCAAAAAATAAGTTTATCTGTGAATGAAGTTATACACAAAACAGAAAAGATTTTTCTTTTCTTTAGACTCTTCCATAGATTATAAGGATAGAATCCAGAAATAGAAATTTACCCGTGTTCGTCTATAACATAGTTACCATACCGCAACTCTAATACCAATGAATGCATCGAATGGCAACAAGGCCGTTTACGTATTAAAATTCAAATTAACCGAGGACTAGTATCCCAGGATGAAAAATACACAATTCGTATACACTGTGAAAATAACCATATATTTGTGCATAACATGAGTCAGTATCACAACTGAATTTGTCCTTATCAATTACGGAGAAAAACGATCATAAGACTGACTGAATCATGAAATACATCAATATATGGCGATTTACGGTCATTTACGAGCGTACTTATTCTACCTGGGATGATTTTAGAAGTGCCGATCATTGTTGTTAATTATATTGAGTAGTTCGATCGGTTGTTCAGTACTATATACATGAGGATGTAATATAATAATTATTAAAAGTTAGCGAATGAGTCTGAATATATGATTATGATAAACTAAAATTACATTATTTGAATAATGTGTGATACTAATTTTTTTTGCAATAAAAGTAGCACTAATATAACTAATTGTATTGATTTCTATATTATCTCTATAAATTAGTAGATATATACATATATAACATACGTTTTATTCCAAACATGAAGAAGACACAAAATAATATGAATCATAAAAAACTGGAACGTTTTCAATTTTAAGGTTTTTATCTAAAATGTTGAAACGTCGAGCATAAAATCTCTAATATCATCAATACACTACTATTATTCCGAACCTCATATTATTCATGGAAATAGACTAGTTCGATGTAAACATATATATCTCGATAAACGATAAATAGAAGTTTCAATTTACTAAACTCAATGATTATTTGAAATTTAAAATCAAATTTTGAGCACAAGTTTTAAAGAACAGCAACCAATAGAGTTATAATAATGCAGCGATAAAAAAAATTTGACTAAAGTATAGCATAGTTGAAACTCTTTTTCTTTAAAAAACAAAAAAAAATCAACTTTTATATTACATAAAAATTTCTTTTGTGACAGAAATCACTTTTATATACTAAGTCATATCTTTTATTTTTTTTTGGTACCAAAACATATTATATCAAATTGCACCTAAATGCATCTATCTATCCCATCAACTTAGAGCTACGTCAATCAAGTCACAATGATCGTTAATTGTGTTGAATCGAAGTAGAATTACTTCAAACACGTTACGTATTGTTCTTTTTATTAGTTTCATTTTCTTAGCAATGATGAAATTCTTTTGAGCAATACTTATTCAGTATTTTCTCGACACTATAATCTGTTCATTCAGTTTAATAATAAATTCTATTAATGACTGACACCACAACTAAATTATCAATCAAACTGTGTGTCAATATTGTTGATAAACATCATTTCTACTTCACTTATACTCTTAGTAAAATGACGTCTCTCAGTATATTTATATGCATCATGCTCGAACTTCTCGTGATTAATTAGCTCTATATATAAATCATTTAAGCATATTTGCCATGCGTATGTAAAAAAGAAAGAAAAACAAATACTAATCTTACAACGACAACAGAAAGAAATTAGAGCCGTCCGTAGTTTTTACGTTTTTTTTTGCTATTTACACTTCCGATTCATTTAATTCTGATAAGAATAAATTTTTACGGCCAAAAAAAATTAAAAATTACGTTGTTCACTCTCATTTGTGATATAAAAACAATGAATATATATTTATTAATAACAATTGCAGAAAAATGGTTTATTCAATTGAAAAAAATTATTATTCATTATGAACCCTTAAACTTACCTTAAAACCTGTTTCTTCAACAATTTTTGCACTTAATGCACTATGAGCTTCCATAATGAATTCAAGTTGTGGTGATAAAAGCATTTGTTTTAATTGAGCACATCGATTATTCGATAGTGGTTTTTCAATAGCTGAAGTTAGAGTTGAAAATTTTCGTCCATAATTACTTACTATGCGCAAAAAAACTTTGTTCAACATGATTATTTATAATAATACTATAAATGGCAGCGCAGTGGTAAATACTGTCTCTCTTTTCTCTTGCGATTTTTTTTTCTCCGTCCTTTGCCCTTAAAAAGCAGATAAATGAATACAGACTGTTGTTCTGTTACTATATACTAAAAGCAAACAGCAATAAATACACGTATTATCTTTCTTTTTTTTTCTTTTCTCGCTATCATGCCACTATATGTTCTTGCCGGTTCGGTTAACGGTCATTGAGATAGCACAGTTGTTGTCTCGTTCAAATAGAGTCTTATTTCTCGAAATGATGGTCGATCTAGACTTGACCATGAAAGACAACGTTCGATAAATGCATAAAGACGATCATTACATAATGTTGGACGTGGAAAATATGTTGAAAAACACAGAACAGATGGCTCAATACTATTCTGTTTTGAGTTTGGCCATAAATCATGAAAGAGTTGTAAAACTTCATCATTATTTAAATCACTATATGGAACACATGAACCCAAATGAAATAATTCAAAAACAAGAGTACCAAACATAAATGTGTTTGTTTCAACAGACCAAATTTCGTCCTTTAGATATAAAAATTAAAATCAAAAATAAATTATGATAGAAAAAAAAAAGTCAATATTTACCTCTGTAACAATATCACCAGGTAACCATCGAATAGGCATTTGTTGAACATATCTTGACACATAACGATCATCTTGTTTAGCATAATCAGACAATTTTATTGTTTTATCATTAAATACAAGACAATTAGGTAATGTTAAATCACGTACAATTAGATTTAATGATTCAAGATGAATTAAAGCTGATAGAATATCATTAAGAAATTCCATAAGAATTCTATCAACATCAAAAAAGTAAAACAAAAAAATAACTCACAAATTTCTTCATGTTATTAGTTTTTTTTCTTACGTTGCAGTATTTTCATTTTCAATCGTCATTGTTTGACAATATTCAAATAAATTCACTTGACTATATTCACTGACTAGAAGACATCGTTCCGGTGATATATAAACATAACCAAGACAAGAGACTATATTTTTATGATCTATTAATTTTGATAAATTAAAAAATCTAAATAAAAGTAATACAAAAAAATTTTATATTAATTAAAATTATTTTTTCTACAATCATACTCATTATTATCTTGTTCATATAGAATAACAGATAATTTATTTTGACCATATTCACTATAAAAACACTAAATAGAATAAAAAAACTAATGATTAGAAAAATAGAAAGATTTTATTTTTATCAAAATACTTGTTGATTATTTTGAACACCAAGATTTTGAATGATTAGTATTTCATTACGATCTATTTCAGATAGATGATCACAAACAGAATGTAAATTAGACACAGAACATTTTGGTGTTATTGACTATATCATTAAAAGTGAAGAAATATATTTTTCATGACAAAAAAAACTATTATTTACTCGTCGACGTGAAGACAGTATACGTATAGTTGCTTTAGCACTTTCGTTAACAATTTTTTGTGAATTAATAAGTTGTAAAGAATTTGAAATTAATTCATCATCATCTAAAAATTAAAACAAAAATATGATTTATAATTTTTATACTTAAACGAATAGAAATTAATGTGTATAAATTTACTTTCAAGATTGGAATAGAGATCTAATTGAGAGTGACTAGAAATAAATAATAATAATAATACAATCATTATTTATAAAAAGAAAATTATTCATACTTTTGAATATTTTCATCATTTGTTGAATTTGTTATTGATATTGTTAAACTTTGTTCAGTTTCTTCAGGTATTACTCTTTAGAAAAAAATTTTTAAACAAAAATTTTTAATTATTCTTAAAACTCAATTCTTACTGCATATGATTTATTTGTTTATCTTTAAATATATATGAAATAAGTAAAAACATAAGAAGTATAACACAAATAATTAACATAAAAATTAATAAATATGATAATCTATGATGAACTATTGTTTTAAAATTTATTATAAGTTTTTTTTTTTTTTTCTTTTGAAATTTAACTTACGTATTATTTCATTTGATACAGCATTATATGCTAATAATTCTAATCGACGTAGATTAGCTTCAATATAAATTGATGATGGTATTATATATTGATCATTATCATATTCATTTTGATTGTTAAATGTTATTTCACTAAGTGCTAAACCTTCTTTTGTATTTATTTGTATGATTACAAATTGACCTTTAGTTTTTGGTACAGAAAGTATAAGATGTGTTTGTGTTGTATTATCATAATATAAATGATTTTGAATTGAAATTGTATTAAAATGATTTGTCCAAAGATTATTTGATGTAACTATTTCTAATATACCAACATTTATTTTTAATGTACAACTTGATAATAATAATAAAGAACATTTTATATCAAGATTAATTGATTGAAATTCTTTTATTGTATCAAAACCAAAAAGAAGTAAAATTGGTTCTGATGATGGTGACCAATGAATAAAATGATGTGTATCTCCATCAGTTAACATACCTAAGCCACCTTAATAATAAATAAATATAAATAATAGAACTTCGAAATATTCAATTAATTTTGTTATTTTTAAATATTTTTTTACCTCGAGCAGTTGAATTTACAATCAATCCATCATATTTTAAATCAGTATTAATAATTGATCTTTGAGGAAGGCGTGTCGAAATTAGACCATCTAAATAGAATTTTTCCTCAATAATTTCTATTAAAAAAAAGTAATTTTTTTGTATTGTAATTACTTTGAGATTGGCAACCGTATACTTGAATGATTGTACATATCGGTATGGATGATGTTCCGAAAATAATTCGAATTTGTCGCGCAATAATTGATGGAAGAAATGTACGTGTTTTATTTAAGTTATCATCATCATTAAAAAATAAACGACGTCGTTCGATAACCAACTGAAATAAAAGAAAAAAAATTTATATTTTTTTTTCTCATTTTTAAATACTTTTCGTTGTCGACGTCTTCCATAAGAATGCCAAGGACCATCTTGTGTTCGTCGATATTCAATAAAATATGAACTTATTGTCTAAATATTAATTTAATACAAATAATCAAAACTAATAAAAAAAAAAAAAAGTTATTCTACCGAATTTTTGTCTTGATTAGGATTACGAACAGATATACCCGTTATTTGTGTTAATGATGGCAATTCTATTTGTAGACTAGAAGCTGATATTTTTCCATTAATATATGTTGAACATGATGAACAATAAATTGAGGATTTATTTTGTTGTCTGTTAAGTTGAATTCGATCATTACATGTATTACTATCAACTATAAGTAGAAAATATATTCATTAAGATCTTTATATCTTTTGATTTACATCTAATGTCTATTGATTCATCTTAACCTTCAATTTTTCGAACGAAACGAAAGAAGAACATAAGTTTTTCTTTTTAAATGTTCTAAATATAGATTATTAACTAAAAACTCTATTGAATATTTTATTTTCTAGAATTATTTTAAATAAAAGTTTATCATCAATACTCTTTACCTAATACTGGTAATAAGAATAGCAGAAAACGAATGATGCAGCTCATTGATGTCCGTCACTATTGAATCAATCACCTATGCATGAAAATATTCTTTTCACATAATATGAGAGTGTGAAACAGAAGAAAAAAAAAAAGAAAGAAAAAGAAACAACAAATTACCACTTGTCTGTCATTTTTTTTTTTTTGTATTCATGGTCCATTCACTGTGGCATTGAACGGTGTTATTTTATCATCGTATCAAATTGATATTAATTCCAAATGTTCCCTTTTTTTTTTCTTTTGCAATGATGTTCATTACAATTTCATAATTTTTTGTCTTTACTTTAAGGAAATTCATTATTAAATTGATTTTGTTTCACTCATTCATATACAAAACACTTGACCTTCGTTCAGCATTTTATTCGTTGATAATGTATACAAGCATAACCATACGACAACATAGTAATTACTCAAGGGAAATACAAGCAATTATAACTATTTTAATGTTAACATAGACAAGCGTTTGAAGAATGAATATCATCATTAAGGTTATCAAACATATCAGCATTAAACATGAACATAGACGAAAAAGAAATAAAATAAGAAGAACTTAGAGGTAGAGATACAAGGTTAATCAATTGTAAGTTATACAAGAATATTGATAAGTAAAAAGCAAAAAAAAAAAACTGATATAAACTGAAAAAGGTAATCAAAAAAAATTGTCAGAACATTCATCCGTAAATGTATGCGAATAAGGAGACCAACGAAAAGACATTGTAAAGGCTGGAGATTTTCTTAGAATATTTTTATACTAATAAAAGAAGATATTTTCATATGTATCTATGAAATCAAATATAACCTTACTCCTTTATCTAATAATTCTCGTTCGACCATTGCTGGTCCAGGACCAGAGAATTCTAAATGTTTTTCACGATATCTTGGTGCTATAGTCACACCTCGAACACCACCACATATATCTCTTTTTATTGTTTCATTGTTAGTATTAAGTATTGGATACATAGCTGGTCCAGGCATAGTTATTCCTCGTAATTTATTCGTTTTATTTTCTGTATCTACTGAAGAAAAATATAAATATAGTTAAAATAAAATTCAATAGATACATGTCATATCAAATCGATGATGAATTGTAGAAATTGGAGCATTTGGTAAACGTGAATCATATGTTCGAGTACCAATTGTTGTCCAAAATGGTTTTATATTTTGAAAATCTTTTTTTTTCTTCTCCTCAGATAATATTTGATCATTAATATCATGATGATATCGTTCACGTTTTAATTTTGGACCAATTAATGGATGAATACGAATACGAGGTTGTTGAGTATAAATATATTCTTCACCCATTTGTTCGTAATCTTTATATCGTTGATAACTTGTTGGACCGGGTCCTAATTAATTACATGATTATATGAATATTTTATCATAGATTTTACCTCTTTGTGTTATTGATAAAGGTCTTTTTGATGGAACAATTTTATGTGGAATAAATGATATAGATAATTTTGTTTTATCATTACCTAATCTTGTTAAATGACTTAAATCATTATTTGTTGCAATTTTTGGATTTAATTTAACTTGTTCACTTTTTTCAACAATACGTTGTTGTTTCTTTTGATATTGTGGTGTTATTAATGGTTGATCAATTTTACCACTAATACTTATAGCTGGTGCCCAAAGTATACGAGGATCACGTAGACGACTTTCTGGACTACCATTTCTTGGTGGAATTCCAATTGTTGATGGAAGAAGTATGTTGCCAGGTGATGGATTCATTTCTTGAATTTTTATATGTACTTCATCTTTAATATTATTTGATTTTGTATTAACAGTTAAATTACTATTTGTTCGAGCTAGATTTTTATCAATCATTGATCGATTAACCTTTTTATTAGATATATTCATTATTTAGTATAGACACATTTGAATTTTTTCATTGAGACAAAAAACTACATGGCGCGAATAAATAACTTATATTTTCATCTATCATATACATATAATCATAAGATATATATCAAATTATCATAATAAATTATACTCTAGGATTAGTTCTAGTCAAATCAATTGTCATTGAATGTAATTAAATAAAGGTTTTCAAATAACTTTTTTTATAAGTTTATCAAAGGAAAATAAAATACATTCTTTTATGAAACTTAAATAAACTAATGGTTAACTTTTAGATACAATCATGAATGTTTTATATCTTAAAAAAAGTCAATAATTTTACGCTTCATGATGTAGAATCGACTATTAATATCTTTTCGATATAAAATTTAATTATCTACACTTCGCTCGAGGGTATTACGCTGATTGTTTTATCAATAATAGGAATGTTCAAAGTTTCTTTTTTTTTCATAAGAAAATCATTTATGAACACTACTTTCAATGGTCAACATGCACTATTATAACTTTTCAGAGGTTCGAAAAAAAAGAAATGCAGAATAAGTTTAACATTGAATAGCAATGAGAAAAAAAAATCAAGAATACTTTTATCAACATCAATGTACCATTGCAATTTTTCATAGGGTAACTATCAGAAAATAAAAGACTCTCAATGATATCTGATTCAGTATTAAAATAATTATACATGAAGTATTATTGAAATAGAAACAAAAGCTAATCTCGAATCACACAAAGAATGAGATGGTAAAGTATATGGATCAAAAAAGAAGTATACTGATAAATGAATATGTTTTTTGTTATTTTATGTCAATTAAAAATATAACACTACCAAGAATGTACTTCGCGCGTGCCTCTCTTATTATGTTTGTTATCCGAGTAGCCGCAATTTAGTCATATCAGCTGTTAGACTCTATTGCTAGGAATTTTTAAAGCTGAATGTACATCAAATTTTGAAAAGGTAAGAGAAGAAATCTAATCGTTGTTAGACTCATTCTTTTTCAGATATCTTTTATTTTATTAAATCATATAATACTTATTTGTTAAATTTATAAAATAAATTGTAATAAATGTTGATTAAAAATTATCGTAACAATAACAGATTGACCTGACATGGTATTTTCAATTTTTTGTTCTTTCTAGATAAATGTTAAGAAATGAAGCATTATTTTTTTGAAATATTATGGGGAACGACTAATATGAAGAAAAAATTGGTTAAAGAAATTTTTTGAGATATTGTTACGTGCAATCGGTTTGTGCTGCCTCTCAACAAGATTTTAGGCAATGATCTCCTCCTCGACTAATTCATCAACTGCCATCGTTCTTTATGTCGGCAACGCTTTGCACATCTGTGAACACTATCGTATTGAAGTGAACGTCAATAATGGAAATCAGTATACATAAAGAATCTTCTTATGTACAAAGAAAAACAACTTTGAACATTTGTCTATCATCGATAAAACAAATCAATTCAATTCCTTCGAACCGAATAGAGATATCGAAACTTTGTTTTTTTATCGTAGAGATGTTTATGACCTATTCTGTATAAATCCACTTAAGAAAAAAAATAAGATATTTTGTCATTTAATGATTTATTTCTAATTTCTTAGAAAATCGTTATCAAATTCATAGAACAAAATTGAAAATCTACAATTTTATTTTTTTTTCTGTATATCTGCGTCTCAATGATTTTTATTTTCAACAAAGAAAACAACAAGACAAAGAAGATGATAATGGAAAAAATGACACAGACATATATAACGAGAAAAAGAATGAGACATTCAGCAGCACACAATCTAACACAAGCACACAAGAAAAGACAAATCAAGAAGAAGAGAAAAAGAAACAAACAAACAAACAAATTGTGATACATTCTTCATAAATGTGTTGCTTTTCAATATCAATTGAAATAAGGTTTCTAACCTTGAATGTTTAAGAGAAGAAAAAAAACCCATATATAATTGTATGCTTTAAAGAATATTAAATTGTTGTTGTTCTTCTTGGTTATATAGTATCGAAATAAACAGAAAAGAAAAGTGAGAAAAAAAGTGACAGAGACAACACATAAACTAAAGAGAAGAAAGAGTTTGAAGATAGAATAATAAATTCATATGCTTCAAAACGCATACAAACATGTTTTTGTTGACAAGAAAAAGAAATCGTTACAATAGACAAGAAGAAAAAAAAAAGAAACGCAATGTTTAGTTTTTGTTTTTTTTCATATTTTAAATCAATGAGACCAGAATATTAACGATTTTCAACTAGAAAATAAAATTTTATTAATAGAATAAATGTTAAAAATAAAAATCAATATATTTACTATAAGTAGCTACATCAATTTCATCGGGCATTTCAGTAATTTGTACTTCAAATCGTTTTTGAACTTCATTAAGAACTGCTGCATCATTTTCATCTGCTACATATGTTATTGCTAAACCTTTTGTACCAAAACGACCAGCACGAGCAACCTTAAATACAAAAAAAAAAATTATTCAATAAGAAAAACTTAATATCATACTCGATGAAGATATGTATCTGTGTCTTCGGGCATATCATAATTAAATACAATATTAACACGTTCAATATCCATACCACGTCCAAATAAATTGGTTGCAACAAGTATACGTGTTTGAAATTCTTTAAATTCTTTATAACGTGCCAAACTAAAAAAAACAACAACAAATTTTTATTGAATTTTGTCTTTTTTGTCAAATTTATAATTCAACAAACCGTTCTTCTTGAGGCATGCCACGATGAATTTCAACAGCAGGAAAATTTTGTTCAGTTAATAATTTGCATAAAGTTGTACAACGTGGTACCGATTTAACAAATATAACAACTTGATTAAATTCCAATTTATCCAATAAATCAATTAATTTACGATTTTTTTCATTTTCTCGTAATTTAACATAATGTTGACGAAGACCCTTTATTAAAATAAAGTTAAAGCTTTTTTTTTTTTTTTTTTTGATTTCATATCATTTGATGTTCTTTGAAAGAATATTTATGTGAAAATATGACATAAATCATTTTGATTTAACAAAATCTTCTATTAGGGATATACACATTTTTATTAATCTCCATATTTAGGATTCCGTACAGTTCTCAGGTAGATCATATATATATTTCGAAATATTTTATCATATAAATAAAGATTGAATTTTGATTGTATGATGTTATCAGCATGTTCTATCAGATGTCTCTAAGCCATATACGAATCAATGCAATTTCATATGTAATCAGTATTTCATTTGAAGCTAACTGGATTCATATGAATGTTTATATATAGATAAAATAGAAGAATGAAACTCTTTTAACTCTCCAAAACTGCATATCTTCTAAAAAATATCAAGTCCACTTTTACCATCCCGAATATAAACAAATCATTATAAATTATTGCATCAGTCAAATAGTAATACTATATTAAATAGACTCGATACAATAATAAATAAATCTTTCTATTTTTAAGAGAAATAAAATTTTGTTTTCTTTTTTACGAAAAAATAAAAAAAAAAAACAAAAAGAAATACATACATGAAGTGTTAATTTTGTTTCATCATCAATATAAATTTCCATTGGCTATAAAAGCAAAAAAACCGAAAATAAAACAAAACAAAAAAAAAAAATTAAAACTTACATCTTGCATAAATTTCTTACACACCGGTCGAATTTCTTTATTTAATGTAGCACTAAACATTAAAACTTGTTTTTCATGTGGTGTCATTTTAAATATTTCTTGAACATCACGACGCATATCTAGACAACAAAAAAAAAGATTAAATTCAAACAAAAAAAAAATCTTACCAAGTGATTCAAGTACTTTATCACATTCATCAATAATAAAATGTTTAACATGACGTAAATTAAGTGCTTTACTTTTAGCTAATGCTAAAATACGACCAGGTGTTCCAACCACAATATGTGGACAATTTTTTTTTAAAATATCTTCATCATGTTTAGCTGGTAAACCACCAAAAAATACAGCTACTTTAACTGATGACATATATTTGCAAAAACGTTCATATTCTCGACTTATTTGAAAAGCTAATTCACGTGTATGACAAAGTACAATAACAGATACCTTAAAATAAATTAATTATTATTTATTTTTTTTTGTTTTATGTTTTATGAATAAATTTCATTTTATTTTTTTTACTTGTCCATCAACAGGTTCAAGTTGTTGAAGTGTTGCAAGAACAAAAACAGCTGTTTTACCCATACCCGATTTGGCTTGACATACAATATCTGTACCAAGAATAGCCTGTGGAATAGATTCATGTTGAACTAAAAGAAAAAAAAATTATTTATTTGAAATTTGTTTTTTTTTTAAATATTATAGATTTATTTTAAAAACCTTCCGATGGATGTTCAAAACCACAATCCATAATAGCACGAAGTAATTCAGGTTTAAGAAGAAAATCTTTAAAACCACTGGCATGTATTGATACATATGAACCTCGTATTGGTCCACTTTGTGTACCAGTTGTACCACCATTTTGTACACTAGTTGTTCCACTAGTACCATGTGATGTTCCACTTTTAGTTTCTGTTTGTTGTGGTGCATCATCTGTTTCATCATAATCAAGAAGTTCTTGTTCGTCTGTCATTTTTTATTTTATTTAATCTGAAATTGAATATTAATTGGCTAAACATCATTTCGATTTTTATCTAGAAGAAAAGAAAAAAAAAAAAAAAACATCAATAGATGTAATTTAAATATTCGCATATGAATATATATATATATATATCAATATTGTTTTCCTTTCTCTTAAATAAAGATAATAGAAAAAAAAAACAAATAAGCAACAAAGACGAAAAAAAAAAAAAAAAAAAAAAAAAAAAAAAAAAAAAGAAAACATCATCATTCGTATATATTATCATTGAGACAAGAAAAAAAAAAGAATTTCATATACACTAGAAGAAGAACAAAAAAAGAAAGAAAGAGGAGAATATATTTATATTCACTGTTATTTTCTTATACATATGAATGCATAAAGCATATTTTTTTGTAAAAAGAAAAAAAAATGCTTTTGCCTAAAAACAAATAGATTACACACACACAGACACACAAATGCAATAATTTTAATTATAGAAAACAAATACGGAGAAAAGAAGACTTTGTATTGTTCTTAATTTTCAGAACAAAAAAAGAAAAAGGAAAGGATCTTAGTTGAAATATCAGTTGTGATCTCACAGGCAGATCTTTGGAATGCGTGTGGAGAGAAAGAGAGAAAGGGAAAATTTTATCGAATAGGATGAAAAATTGAATTTGAAAAACAATGAATGTACAACAAGAGAGAGAAAAGTTCTGTTTGAGAAGCAAATGAATAAGAACTAGACTAATGAGATAGAAACACAGACAACAAAGCTTTTTACATAGAAGAAATTTAAAAAAAAATGCATCAGTTAGTTTTTCTTTTCTTATTTTCTTAGAAATGAGAAAATGAAAGAGATTTATTTTTCTATTATTAAGTTTTTGTTTCATTTTATGAGGCTGTAGCAATTGTTTGTTGTTGCTGTTGTTGTTGTTGTTGAGGTGTCGCTGGTGGTGTATGTGGTTCTTGTTGTCTTTCACTAATAATTGGATTATTTGAAGAAGAAGAATTACTAGGATTAGTTGTCGAACTATTCCAAGAAGAATTCGTCGGTGTTGTCGGAGGATTTGTCGATGATGGTAGAACTGGTGTAGAAGGAGTCTATAGACAAAAAAACAATAACTTGAAATATTGTTTATTAGATTTAGCTTTTTAAATCTAGTATTCACTTCAAAAATATGAAAGCTCATCCATCTACATCATGGTTTTCTTTCGAACACATTCACTTCTAAAAATTCCAAGTGTCTTGTCAAAGGCGTAGTCAGAAATTTTCTAAGGGGGGTGTCCGCCAGCAGAAAAAATTCTTGATCCTATAAACAGTCTTTTAGCCCGATACTCCTCACCAGGCATTTTTCTTCAAGAGGGGTGCCTGAGCAGCCCCCATTGGGTACGTCCCTGTGTCTTGTTCTGTTCATATGTCGAAATATCAGTCATTCTTTGAAATTTGAGATACTCAGCAGAGACATGTTACATGTCTAAAGAAGAAGACGCATCAAATGACAATGAATGACCAAATTTAGACATTCTAGTACGTCTCCAGCAGGAGACTATCGAGACTTATTGGATTCATCAAGATTACTCTATTGATAGCATAGTAAACCACAGAAAAAAAAGACATCATTCTCAGGTATTAGCTTTTATTTTGATCTTCATCTGTAGAGCAAACCCGAAAAACAGTCAATACATAATAACTATGAAACTACAGTCTATTATAGAATTATTGTCAAATATGTTTTGATAGTCAATGTGATGAAAAGAAATTATTTAAGTTGATTATCATTCAACTTCTTTTTTTTATAGTTATTCTAATATATTAAAAATAATATTATCTTTCTGTCATAAAAGCATATAGACTATAATTAGTAAATAACAAACCGAAAGATATGTTGCTAAATTCTTCGTTCACAATAAAAACATTTTTTTATTTTGTCTAACATTTAAATTTTGCTACAATTCCGTCAAGCAGTTCTTTTAAAAATAAAAGAATGACGAAACAAAAATTTTTATTTTGTTTTTTAAATTAAATTTTTTGTTTAATCAAACCTGATTATGATTTGTTGAAGATGGTGTTGGTGGAGAATTAGAAGAATTATTTCCTGATACAGAAATATTTGATGTTGTTGATATTCGTTTTCCACTTGTTGATAAATCACCATTAATTGGTGTCACGGGTGGTGGAAATATATTTGAATTTGCATTTGGTGTTGGTGTTGATGGACCACCAGTAGAAAACATTGATGGTAATTGCTGCTGCTGCTGTTGAGGTGATCCAGGAAATGACATTTGTTCTCGTTTTATTTGATTTGTATGTACAAGTGGTGAATTAGGTATAAATTGTTGTTTTTGATGAAGTATAGATTGAAGATTTGGATTTTGTTGTTGTTGTTGTGAATGAAAACTTGGTAACATTTGATGAGTAGGTGAAAGATATTGTGGTTGATGATGACTAGATGTTGTTGCATTTGGATCAAATTGAGTATTTTCTAATCGAGTTATATATCGTTCATCTTCATCATCCATTTCACCACCCATTAATGATGGTTCACCAACAATCATTACATCCTAAATAATAATATTAATTTATAATCAATGATTTATATATATATATTTACCCCAGGCATACTATTCATATTTGGAGTTATTGTTCCTTGTGTTGATGGTTGAGAATAAGTTGTATTAGCTGGTGAACGTTTTTTAGTTGGTGTTGAAATTGTACAATGATTTATATTCGCATCTTTAGATGTCGATATAGGATTTGGAGTAGTATTATTAGTTCCTGGTGTATTAGTATTATTTGTTGCTGTTGATTTTCTTTTTCGTCGTGGTTTTGCTGGTGGTCGACTGTCTAAAAATATTAAAACATTCAATAATAGTATCAAATTTAATATTATGAATAATAAAAATAATATATATTGTGTTGAGCGAAGTAATTAAGTGAAAGCGTGTATATTTGAATACCTGATACTAGAACTGTTTGACATGGTAATGTTGTTGAAAATGAAGGACTCAGAGGAAATTCTTAATAAAAGTTAAAAAAGATAATTATTCTGTTTTTTATTTTGACAGAAAAATATTTTTGTCTTCTGATCATAAATCGAAAAACAAAAACCCTCCCAACAAAGAAAAAAAGACAATGATTTTTTTTCTTTTTTAATATTTACCTGAACAAGTTTTTGACCAACGTTGATGTAAAATTGTTTTTAAACAATCACGCGGAGAAAATGTTGTTGTTTTATGACGTGACATTAATTCTTGCATTGGTTCAAGAATTTCACATAACTATAAATATAGATCAAATTTAAAATAATAATTAAAAATAAATAAATAAATTTATACCCTGAGAAAATTCAACATAACAGATGTTAATCCACTTCGTGTTAAATTTTTTGATAATTGATCAAGATAACTTGGATTATCCGTCTAAATATAATTAATTTGATTAGATTATTTAAAAATTAATAAAAATAACAAAAAAAATATTCAAACTATCATTCTATTAAAAAGAAAAGAGAGAATTCTTCTCTAATAGCAAAACTCGAGATATACATACGATAGGAAACTTTCGTTAGTACATATAGACAAAATTTCAAACAATATCGTTTATTAATTTTAGAATGACAGTTCGAATATATTTAACTTCATACCGGTATGGCAACAATACTTCGTGGAATTAATTCCCGAAATTGTTTTATTGCAAAATGCCAAGATTTTATTCGCATTAAATCATCAAATGTATATTCAAGTATAAGATGTCCTTCTGTACAAACCTTTTAAAATAGACAAAATAAAAAAAAAAAAATGAATATATATATATTTTGTTTTTCTCTTACTTTAATATGTGGCGGTTTTCCAAAACAAGTTACCATTGATGCTTGTTCACAATCTAATGATATTGTTGGACTATGAAAAATTTCTTTCGTTTGTTTTAATTGAAAATAAACTTCATTAACACCACCATCAAATAATGTACGAAAAAAACGTGGAATTAATATACGACTGATACCTTTTTTTTTTTGAATAATAAAAAAGAAGAATACGAAAAAAAAATAATAATAATTCAACATACTAAATCGTTTAGGTCCATCTTCTAAACAAATTGATATTGTTAATGTTGCATCTTCTTCAAAAAATTCATTTACAAATGCATCCCACCATTGACTATCGCATTCCTTAACAATAAAATATATATATATATATCATTTTTATAATAATTATTTTGTCTACTTCTGTTCTCATTGATAAACGTTTATTTAAATCATGCAGTCGATATTCAGGCGATAGAGGAGGAGGAGGTAATGATGGCCTATAGAATTATTTATAATAATATTTCAATAAAAATTTAAAAAAAAAAAATTTTTTTTTTACCTAAACGATCGCATATGTTGTGGACTAATTTAATGAAAAACAGAAATTTTTAAATCAATCGAAGAAAAAAATAAAATCTCTTACGGAAAATGTACATCTCGTGGTGGCATAATTGGTATACGTCCAGGATTAATCCCAGGATGATGATGAGGTGGAGGTGGTGGATGAATTAAATGAGTTGGATTTTGTGATGGTGGTTGTGAACCTGGTGGTGGACCTTGCCAAACTCCACCAGCACCAGGCGTGTCAACAAGACCAGGCTGGAATCCACTTGGATCCACTTTTGCTCTAAAATAATTTCTATGATGATGATATTAATAGAAGAAAAAAAACAAACCGATTTCGAATTTTAGCCACGAGTATATGAAAAATAATAGAAGATGTTCGTTTTTCTTTTTTTATGTCTCGTCAATACCGTGAACAGGCACCATTCGAGAAAAAAGAATAAATCTAAATTACAAAAAAACTGATTCATTCAATAAATGATTAAATAAGAATTTTCTTTACAATTAAACTAAAGTTCATTTAATCATGATTGATTTCATTTTAATACATTGATTTGAGAAAAATTTTTTACTTAATTAATAATAAAATTCAATAAATGAAATCAATTTCAAATAGATTGTTTTTTTTCTTCTTCTACACCACTCGAAGTAATACTAATCTGTATGTCTGTCGCCATATTGATTTGATGTCATTTGTCTGTCCTCTCTCTCACCTCTCCTCTATCATTTCTTTCTTTTTTTTTTCTTACCAATGAAAAAAAACATTCAATTAATTTAATCTTATTTAATTATACAATGAATTCTTTATTTAGATTTTCATTTTCATAAAAATTAATTTTAATTAAAATATATTTAAATTAAACTTTAAATTATTTATTTTCTTTCTTCTTACATGAGAGATGTCACTAATAAAATGACATAATTCCATCCATACGTTTATCTATCTTTTTAAAAGTGAAATTTTAATAATTTACAAAAACAAGACATGGCAGATGAAGGCGATCAAGTAACTATGATTAGAAAGATTATTTTCATGTGAGAAGAAAAACGTTTTTTTGTTTGATTGAATATAGGGAGCAACAACAACATCAACGTCGGTTGAAGAACCACTTGATCTTGTTCGATTAAGTCTTGATGAAAGAGTTTGTGTTAAAATGCGTAATGAACGTGAATTACGTGGTCGTCTTCATGTAAATAAACAAAAGTGAATAGAATAATGATTGTATTCTCTATTGATAGGCATTTGATCAACATTTAAATATGGTTTTGGGTGATGTTGAAGAAACAATAACAACAATAGAAATTGATGAAGAAACATTCGAACAAATTTATCGAGTATATAAAAGAAATATCTATTGTTTATTTTAATATGTTATATTTATTTTATTTTCTAGCCAACAAAACGACAAATTCCAATGTTATTTGTACGTGGTGATGGTGTCATTTTGATTTCACCATTAGCTAAACAATCATAATCTCAATCAGAATTTTTTTTTCCTTTCATTCTATAACTGTTGTTAACTGATATGATGATTAAAAAATTTTTATTGTTATTAAACAAAAGTCAAGATGTATAAGATAAAATAAAAAGAGAAATTTATTGCTATTTTTTTTTTATTTTCTTAAATGTTTGAAATTTGGATAGTGTTAACATCTCAGATAAATAATGATGAACTGTCGTGTATGTGATATACATTTATATATGTTGGTTGCTGTTTGAAATTTGTAGTTTTATGATTGATTTCATTTAACCGAAAAGTAGTCGCTTACTATATGACTTTCATATGATTAATATTATCTATATGAAATAATAATTTTTATTCTATTACTCAATGTCGAACATTAATGTTTCTAATTGTATCCCTGATTTCAAAGTCAATATTTTTTTTATTGCTCTCGTCTATTGGGAAATGTGTAAAATCTCTCAAGAAGAATACAATTGATTAATAATGACTAACATTTGCGATACTAATTTCAGATTGATAGGTTATAATTATTCGTAGAATGGTTATTTTATTATTATTATTATTTGTTGTTCTTCTGTAATATTTCCTAAACATAAAATAGATATGATCCTATTTGAAAAACATTCATTATCTACCTATCATGACAAAAGCAAAATCAGAGTATTCGATCCGTTACAATGTGTTCAATGTTTCATCTGCCGCATTGGAACCATACTTGTTGAACATTTTTTCATCGCTTGCATTTAGGCTATGTTCACATTAAGAAAAAAAAGGCAATCCTGATCTAAGATATGATTTTATTATGGATATATTTTAAAAAAATAATAATGAAAATAAACAAATATGGAATTATTATCATATTATTCAAACAGGTGCTTATCTATTGATGGCTTTATTAATAATGCGTTTAAAATTATTTCTTGTTCCACAATTATGTCTTTTGATAAGTTTATTTATGAATGAACAATTATGGCCAAGAAAATTTATTGCATGGAAAAAATAGAAATTAATAGTTTTTATTTTTGATTCTACTCAGCATGAGTATTTAACAGCGAAAAAAAATATCCAAGAACAATTAAACATATAATCATATGCAGTGAATTATTTTTCTAGGTGAATATTCTAATTATCCAATGGAAAAAAATGATTGAATGGATTAATTTAAATACTCGAAATGAATCAATATTTGCTGGTACAATGTCAACAATGGCTAATTTAAAATTATCAACACGTCGTCCAATTATTGTTCATCCTCATTATGAACATAGAAAAATTCGACATCGTGTTAAACTTGTTTATACAATGTTTTCAAGAAAACCACTTCGTTATATACATTCAATATTAAAACAATATCATGTTGATTATTATATTTATGAATCTCATTGGTGTACAATAATAAATCGTCCAAAAGGATGTTCATTTCCTGAAATGTATGATATTGATGAACAAGATCAAAGAATCTTAATACGTACAACTCTTGCATGTCAAACTCTTCAATCTCATCCTCAACCATATTTTAAAAAACTTTTTACTTATGATTATCTCAGTATTTATCAAGTTTTATGAATATACGTATATTTTTCTTTTTTTGGGCTAATTTCACATTCCAATGAATGATGGTTATTCTTCACTTATAATTATCGATTTTATTTTCTATACTTTTATTGCGATTTTTGTTTTGTTTATGTGGGTGTATGTCTGATAGTACTCAATGATATTTGAATCTTGTTTTAATGAAAATATGCATTTTGTATTTCTATGTGGAATTTTTTGTTGAAAAAAATATTCAGTTATAAATTGCTGTTTTTTTTTCTAAATAAACGAATGTTGAATGATAGCTCGTAGAGAATATAGCTAGGTATGCCTTTTTGGCTCGTTTGTTGATGTTTGGTTTTCGATTGAATGCATGAAGACTCGTTATTTTCAAGAGATTTTATTATTTGAAATATTATTTACCAATTGTTATTTATGAATTTTTCGTCGAATGGCTTCAATAATTGAACATTTTCTTTCTTTAACTTCAGAAAGAAAAACTAAAGATTATACCAATGAAAACATGCGAGTATATTCTTTATCATCTTCTACCACCAGTCCGTCGTGCTTGTCTTCTTGTACCTGAATTAACATTGAGTATATTAACTTCATCTAATCCTCTTTGGCATGTTCCTTATGAAGAAGCAATGGCTACACTAGATCGATCTGATCCATGGTGGGCTTTTCTTTGGCCTGGAAGTCAAGGACTAGCTCGGTATGTATTTTCTTTTTATTTCGTTTCTTACAATAACTTTCAATTTTTGCCAATAGTTATGTGTTAGATAATAAGTCATTGATTCAAGGACGTCGTGTATTAGATATCGGATGTGGATGTGGTGCAAGTGCAATAGCTGCCGAAATGGCGGGAGCAGTCAATGTAATTGCTAATGATATTGATAAAGGTAAACAACTATTTCATAAGTTGCAATTGTGTCAATCGTTTTTTTGTTAATTTTCTTCAAGATGCTCTTATTGCCACTTGTCATAATGCTCGATTGAACAATGTCACCATTGATGAATGTTCTTCTGACAATTTTCTTCAAAATCCATTATTAGCTTTCAACAAAAGTAAAATCGATTTACTCATCATTGGTGATATGTGTTATGATGATCAACTTGCAAAACAAATATTAAATTTAATTATTGTTGCTCGTCAATATCATATACATGTATTACTTGCTGATCCAGGTCGATACAGTTTTAAATCGATTGTTGTTAAGCAATTAAATAATAAAATGAAGCGTACATGTGAATATCCGATTGTTGATCGTGATTATATTGAATCTGATTTCGAGACAATACAAATTTGGACAACATAATCTATGACTTTCTTTTGTTTATAATTGTGTTTTTTTCTTTATTTAAATGATGATTAAATCTTCGAATAATATCGATAGAGAGAACAGAAAACGTTTAACTGAAATAGTATACAGTTAAGGTCTATTCAGAAATATATTGACAATGAGCATGAAATTTCATTTTTAGTTTACTATTGATTGATATTATTTTTATTTTATTGTACTTAGAAGAATCATGAAAATGTTCATGAAGTCATTTTTAAGAGATAATTCAAGTTTAAGCATATTTCTACCATAATTCTTTTATTTATTTCATCCATTAATTATTACATCGAATAAAATCGACTTGAATTTTATACTAGACGAGAATATAAGAACAGAAATCAAGTTGAAATTAGATAGAGACTTTGAAGATTATCAGAGGAAGTATTCAGTACGTTTGTGGTTTATAAAGATTGACGTGTCTTATTTTTTCTCGTTGGAATAGAAATTGACACAAATCACCTGAAGAAAAGTTATTTTTAGAAGAGATATATTGTTTGATCAGTTAAATAAAAAAACAAATTGAAACCACACAATAACTTTGAAAAAATGATTTATGCATCAATAGTGATTCTCAATAAATAATCGATACTCAAATCTGTAATAGATTTTTATGATTACATACTATTTCTTTTATCAAGTCTTCATTTTCTTACTTTTTATATTCAATTTATTCAATGAAGAACTAATTTAATTCTATTAATTTTCTTCTTTATCGATATATTATCCTAATAAAACTCGCAAGAATTAACATTATATTTTCTTCAAACTAATTATAGATTAGTACAGAGTGCATGTGAACTACACATCATTTGATAGGTATGATTTGTTTAATTAGATTTTGAAATTTTAGTGATGAATAGACGCAGTATGAAAACTTTATGTAGTTATTCCCTTATAAAAATTGACAAAGCTTAAAGAAAATAAGATGTTATGACGAAGACTAGGTACAAAATAGAACTGAAATAATAGTTCTGTGCTCACATCTGAATTAAATCGATAAGAAACTGTCAAACTATTACATATGAAATTTAAAAAAAAATTTATTTAGTCGATTTGAATCAATCAGTTTTGATGTTGAAGAAGAAACAGAAATCGTTTCATCCCATGGTACAAAAGTCAATGACTTTGATTATTATCGTAATGTAGAACTTAATAAATCAAAACTAAGTCTTTCATTCTTTACTGTTTTGAAAAGAAAAACAAGACCCACCTCCCCGTTTGTATCGATTTGCTCAATCTATTCACTTAATACTTGCTACAGCAGATAGTGTTGAAAGAAAGTTCTCAGAATCCAGTTTAGATTATATAAGAAAGAAGAGTTAGCCGTATTCTTAAACAGCTGAATAGCATTTTGTTATGTAGGACAATGCAAAAAAGAAAAAAAATTAAATATTTTTATAAAAACATTTGATTTTTTTTTGTATGGTTTTATAATTGTTGTCTTTTTCTTGGTATTATTTTTATTATGAAGTATTTTTTTCATTTTTCTATTTGCTTTATTGATAGCAATTACAATGTGTTTAGATAATTATGATGAAATTAGGCAAGTTCATATATGTTATACTTATTTTCTGTAATGAACACATAATTAAAATAATAACTGAAAATATTTCTATATTATTTTATATTTTATAATATTAATTATTATTATGGAAGACTGTAATTGTTATATTTGAAATAGATCAGCTATAAGATAACTAATATGTACTTTAGTGATCAACAGTTAAAATAAGGATTCTTACAGTCTTGTTCTGTCATCTGAAAGGACTGAGTAAGGCATCAAGACAGAACAGACAAAGTTGTTTTGTGCGCACTTTTGCTCGCTATCTTTTTGTTTGACCGTAAATACTTATTAAAAAGTTGTTTTAAATAAAACCCTACAAGATATAACACGTTAACCTATTTTTAGTGGGCAAACACTCATGAAACTTCAAAAAAAAAAAACAACTTTTCAACATGTTTTCATGGTCAAAAATAGAAGTAATAACAATAATAACTTTTTTTTTCGTTAAATCGTTAAATATTTATTACTTTTTTTGCATTCAAGAAGTCTACACTTGATTTTATGGAAAATTATTATCATAAAAAAATTGGTCTTTCGATTGCATTTGGTTGTCTCTCTCTCTCTCGTTTGATATAATGGCTTTTAACTTCTTCAGATCTTTCTTTACATGCCCGATCGCATTACTAACTTTTTTTTCTCTTCTTCTTCCTCGTCTCTTTTTTTTCCAATGTTTTTTAATTCTGTCTTACGTTGTCGCGACTGCTAAAAGAACAAGAGAACTAAGTGACGGTTGCTGTTTAATAAGGTGACAACCAAAGAAACGAGCACAAAAAAAGACAACATACCACACATAAAGAGCGATAAAGCATTGAAAAAAAAAACTTAAAGAAAAGAAGCCCTATAAAAAAAAAAAGTCTTGTTTTGGTTTATGTCGACAACAGTTTTATCGATAATAATCATGTTTTCAGTATTTAGTTGACAATAACAAAAATATTTTAAAAGATTAGACAAAACAAGAAAATAGTGAAAAAAAGAGAAACGAAATTAAAGTATCATGACAACGAACGTAAATTTAAATACAAAAACTGAAGATGAAACAACTGCATCAAACAACAATGAAGCTCTTCTTCAAATTGACAGGTAATTGATATGTATACTATGAAGAACATTAACGAGTTGAAATATTCTCAAATTTCAATGCTTCACTTTTTTTTTGTTGTTCTCTATCAAATATGAAAAGTTGAAATAAAGTAACTTGATAATAGTAATAAGAAGAAGAAGAATAGCAGTTCGGACTTTCTTTTTTTCTTAATGTATATCACTAACAAATTCGAGTATGAGAATAATGAAACAGAAGAAAATTATCTTATTATTAAATATATTTTATATTTAGTAATGAATCACTTACGATTGAAAAAAAATTACGTGTCGAAGATTTTCGTCTTCTTCGTGAACGATTTGACCGTACAACAATTGATAGTTTTGAGACGAATATAAAACCAAATGATAAAACAACTGGTACAAGACATATTTTTTTCATTAATATTTATAAAATATAATTATTTGTTTTTTGCCCAATAGGTTCATTAAATAGAGAAGAATTTATTGATTCATTTGAATCTATATTAGATTTAGCTCAATATAGAAATCAATTAGAAAAATTATTTGATAAAGTATATGATTAAATTTTATTATGAAATAAATAAATTTTTATTTATTTAGCTTAATTCAAAAGAAACAGGATTAATTAATTGGAATGATTTTTGTACATATATGCTTCAATTTTATCAAGATGAAGATTATGCAAATACTCTTCGTATATCACCTTTTAACAATGAACCAAAAATTCGACATGTCGTTCATAATAAAGTTTTTATTATATTTTTTTTAAGTTCAAAAAACAAATTTAAAAAAATTTTTTTTTTTTAGCAAGAATTAACAGCAAAAATTCTTCATTTAGAAAATCCAGTGAGATTTATTAATATAAGTAAAGAAGGTTATTTAGGTTTATGGACACCAAATCTTAATCTAGAAAAAGTATATTCCGTCATTGATGATTTTGATGATGGAACAAGTGGTAATAATATAGGTAGTACAGGACAAAATCGTCGTCGAGCTGGAATGTGGATAACAGATGCTATTTATATGCCTGATGTACATAAATTAGTACTCGCATCTACTAGTCG